AAATGCTAAAATTTGTGTTGAGAAATACGAGCGTACAAAATGGGCCAAAATTAGGGAGTGAGGATGTTTAATAATACTTATTGTCCTCTTTTTCTCGCAATAAGTTTGCGAGTATGCCCTTATCAGGCATCCGCGTAAGTCTTCTAGCGAAAGAGTGTGTCTTCTTAAAAACTGGTGAGTTTAGACTTTCCCCAAAATAAAATTCGTGTTCATCAATATAACGAAAATCAGGACGTACGCGGCCTAAGTAGCCAAATGGGGAAGTTATGTTACCCATCTTGGCCCACATGGGTGGATAGAAAATTAAATACGATAGTGAAGTATACTCCACAGCAAAACGAGGGAATATTCAGACCATGTTCAAGCTTTCGAAATCATTACGTATTCTTTGCAGTCGTACAAAAACACAGCGAACCCTTAAGGAGATAGCGACAAACTTGGTATGAAAGAACTTTTCATACCAAATTTATAATGACACAGGAAAGAAAAAACTATAGCTGTGGCATACATGTATGCCTGAGAAAACTCTGTGCTTGAACCCAATAAAGACCATTCCTTTTCTATCACTCTTTCGCTCTCTTCAGCAACAGATAATTCAGGAAGATTACCTGTCAAGAAATTTAAAATAATTATACTCACAACTTTTTATAGCAGTTAGTTATATGAAATTGTAAGTCCAGACATATGACTCTGGGCGTGTTTCTTTTGGCAAACTATTTATTAATAAAGAATTCTTTACATACGGTGTAGTACGCATGATAGTTACAACTCCTCATTGTCAGGGGTTTCAATAACATAAGTCATAAGCGGCCACTGAAGGTGCAATAGGCGGCTGTGACCACTAATATAAAAGGGCCTTGCGGCCCCTTTCCCCAAGGGGGTCCGAAGGCATGCTCCCCCAGAAAAATTTGAAATCTAGAAGCTCGAAAATGCGATTTCCAGCGTTCTGGGCATCAAAAAGCGTGCTATTGATGGATATTTTTATTGACCACAAAGCAGGATTTTTTGTGACAAACTAAAAATGTTTTGGATGCAAAGAGGTGCATTTTGAATACCTTTCTAGGCAGATATCTCTCAGTGACACTTGATATCCACTTAGACAGTAATTTCTTTGAAGTCCTTTCTTAAAACAAGTACAACTTCTCTGCTACTCTTTCAAATGTACCAACATGGCGATAAACTGATTTTTAACTCTTCATAAAAAAATGAAATGAGATAAACTTTACAACTAAATTCTTTCTACTAATATTCTTACAAAACCAAGCCTCAATTTCACCTTTCCATTGATTCTCCCACGGCTCATTATTACGTTATTCAATAATCATAATATAAAGAAAAATTAAATCATATTATTAAATCACCCAGATGTCTTAGGTATCCAGAGATGAATAGTGATAACACTGATCGGCGACTACAAACAACATGTACGCTATTTCTCTGGAAAGTTTATTTTGCCCGCTCTTCCGTAGCATTTAAAAGTTTCAGTGGTCGCCGTTAGTAGTAATGGACGCTCATATGAGTGGTAACCAATCAGGAGCCGAGAAAGACAATAGGCCATTGTTTAGAGAACAATGGATGCTATTGTTCTCCAAATCCAAGATGGCGCTATTTTATTTTTAGCCAATCCGGAGCCG